TGAGCCTTATAAATTAATAAAGGTTTTCACTTCACTTCACTTCATCTCAGTCTAAAGAAAGCAAACATTGTCGCAGAGGAGAAACTCAAACTGAGTCCATATCGCCAGAAGAACTTCAGAGAATCTCTTATTCATTTATTCTACATCCTCTTTGTGTTCTCTGGTGTGTATAATAAACAACACGCCGACGCGCATGCAACTTTTCGATCGACTCATGTTTGTCCACCCCGCACAAGTGTGGTCTATTTGTTCAAGGAACGAGAAATAAAATCGGAGATTTTCAACCAGATACAAAACATGCATCTTTTGATCGTGCCTGTTACCGAAGGTTGACAATGAGGCTTCCATATTCAGTATCTTCTATTAATCATTAATCACGACTATTTATGTAACAGTAAGTTTCAAAAGGTGTAGTTTCGAGCGTTAGCCCTTCGAGTTTGCTCTGACGAAAGGCTAACGCTCGAATCGTCAACTCTAGAATCTTTCTACGATGACCAATTTAGCCGATCAGCTCAGTCGATAAATCCACATTTCCCGTAAGACAAAACCTCCACTGGCCACCGACGCCGAAAAACTGCATTTCAGAAACTTACCCCTTCTAGCTATACTACATATTTTAGATTACCTAACGGCTTCCTTTGATTCTAAGATCCAGGCCGCTTGACGCAAGCTGGTTCAGCTTGTGACAGTTTCATCCATCAATTGGCTTTCGAAACTCTGTTTTTTGACAAGCGACGTTCTGCTTGTCATGCCACAAACCGCAGCTAGTATCTATTAGTTTCTAGTCCTTTGTGTATTTGCGGTTTCGCGGTAAGATCAAAGAAATCGTCACAAAAAAATAGGAGATAAAAGACCTCATTCTCTTGGCGTAACCAGATGAAGATTGATGGTAACGACGTCTCATCGACGAGCTGACGTAGAGAATAAAACATTAGCACCTTGCAGGTAACATAGGGCTACAGCTGTGATCAGCGTAGAAGAGCTTACTTTTGAAGACGCTAGAGATGAAACGAAGCCAAAACGATCGAATCATCATGGCAGAACGCCAGGCATACATAGTTTTCACACGTAAATGCACTATTGTGTTAGTGTTCTCGTACATTTTCAAATGAATTTGTGGCCTCCGCCGGCATCTTGCAATTGGATGTACGTATAAAGTAACCACTAACAGATTGCCGGTGAGGAACATTCGGTTGGTGGGGATGTGGCTTTTTTCGCCCTACTTCTTTTAAAAGAAGGAACATCAATAAAAATACTCTTAAAATTCTCAATTGGTATGGAATCACTGTTTTCCTTGTAAATCATCCCATTCGGAATGTACCTCACCACAATCTGGCATCGGAGGTTGTTGAATTGTTTGAGGACTGCAGCTTTTCGGATGAAAGTTTTCATTGAGGTGACGGGTCAAAATGCCGATAACATATGCTGCTTAGTTTTCTTTGTTATAATCATAACTTATTTTTTTGTTGTGGCAAAGACATGTTCTACACTTCGAAAATATTGATGTATCCAAAAACGTATCATGAAGAGAAAGAAAAAATTAAAAAAAAAAAAATTCTAAAACAAGAACGGCGAAAACTTTTCCTATCATAAACATCCAAGGCACATTGATATCGGAGTTCTCTCGAAGCATCTTGTATGGTCTCTGTATTTCTTCATGGAATGAATGACCCTTTTCCAGATACGTCAAATATCTGCCTTGTATTTTTGAGGCGGGATATTAAAGGACGATATTTACATGTCCCACTTGATTGGCAGAGGACAATCCGTCTTGAGGTCGTAGAGTGAACGTAAGCTGCAAGCGTATGAAATAAATTTGCACTGAGCTTAAAATAGGCTGGCTTTTGGACTAAAAAGCTTATTTAAGGCTAGCGGTGTTTATGGTGCATTCACTCTTATCTAATCGCTAATCGCTTTTATCTTCCAGTTTACTCTGTGCGTGAATATTTAACTATAGAAGCGGATGTGCTAACCCGTGTTGCCCCAAGCCACCTCGGCCGCGTCTGTCAATCATTAGGAACTGTTGACCTTTCGATTGTCTATTGCTTGTTCAGCTCTTGGCGCACAAGTACAAACTATGGCTGAGAAGGCAGAAGAAAGCAACGGCATGCTTATGGAAGAAGTGGGCTTTAAAGTAGGGTACCAGCTGCAGCATGAAAGATCTTGGCTCTCTGGAGGGAAGATTGTAATTTTCGGGCTCATCGCTGTGGGAGTTTTACTCATCATTATCGGAGTCGTTNGCGTGTGCGTTTGCGTGTGGGATGAGCTTATTTTTGTATATTAAACGTCTAAAACAAGACCAAACTCAGCCAAGAAATGCACCACATGCTAATCTCAAGCGGCCATCTTTTTATTCACCCAGAATTCCCTGTACATTGCATTACGTCATGAGATACAACACTCCTCCTTCCTATTAATACAAGTAATAACTAGCTTACAACACAACTAGATAAGAATTAACTTAAAGAGCTACAAGTTCAGTCTCTCAGATGGTCTAATC